CGCTTGATGTTTTCTTTTCATTTTCAAAAGTCTTGTAGTTGTATACGACCTACCGAACTTGTCAGCACAATTTGTATTGTACCGATTACAGTGTAGGCCCAATATACACGCCAAATAATAGGCGAAACTTGACAATGTGGTTCTATTTAGGGTTATTAGTTGAGGGTAATCTATAAGAGAAGAATAGCAAGAACAAGAACAAGAACAAGAAGAACAAGAACAAGAACAAGAACAAGAAGAAAGAAAAGAAGAAGAAGAAGAAATAATACAAAAAATAACCCTATAATATTGCCCGTGTCGGGGCCCCGATTCACATATATAATAACTGGATTTGCGATACGGTGGCATCATAAGAGAACTTCATCGAAGATTATGAAGAAAAAATATTCCCCCTGTGAAAAGTTTTTTGGTTGTTTTCTTTTTATAATTATTTTTTAGTGACTTTTGTCAAAAACTTGAGTTTATTTTGTATCGAAAAGGTAGTTAATACTTGGCGCCCCATACTCATATAAATATCTATTTTCTTTCTGTTTCCCTCTTATCTGAGTCTCCCAATCTTCCTCTCCTTCGTTTGTCAGCTGGATAGTTTCCCAGTCAGTTTCGTTCTTCATCGCCTACTTCTTCTAGAAGCCTTACCTCTTGCCCTTATTTTATGCCTGTGTCGTAAAGGGAATAATCTAATGTTGCACGATTAATTCGGTTACTTCTAATAAAAATGAAAGTAATGCCTTAATCTCTCTTACTCTTGTCCCCACCCCTGTTTCTCTCTCTCTCTCTTTCTTTTTATTTCTCCTTCCTTCTCCCTTTCTCTCCTTCTCCTTCTCCCTCCCCCTCCCTCCCTCCCTATCTCACTCTCGGTACAAATCAAACCGTCTAATTATCTATAATGCATCTGGCTTCCTTTCTCTTTCCCCCATAAACGTAATCCGTTATCACTTCTCTATAATAGTCTCTCTGACTTGTTTAGCTTGCCCCCTCCGTCCATCCCACCTCCCTCTACCCCTTTCTTTCCAATCTCCTCCTCCATTTCCCGAGGGATGCACCATCCATCTCAATCAATGCTATCCACCTGTCTCTAATACAATGTCAACGAGCACCTCATTACATCTCAACTCAATTTACAATGTAGCCCACCTTTTACGTCACAGACCATCAGTGACGTCACAACATGCGATGCTGTACGGAAATTCCGTATCCATTCCCCGAAATCGACCGGAGAAGGCCGAACCTGTCATCGGAGGGCAGATAAGTCAGATTCTTGAAGGACTCCAATGGATGCAGGCCTATCTAACGTTCCAAGATACACAATAATTATATAGACTAACAGACAAGAAATATCCCATCCATCATTCCTCCCCCCCCCCCCTTTCCACGCACTTTCTCACAATACCGGGCCTATGTATACATAGTTTTCAGAACAACATCAGCTCATATACATCCCTTGTTACATTATATCATATTAAACAGCGACTGTCACCGTCAGTTTAATTATTGTTTACCCGTTATAACGATCAATTCTGTTATAATATCTGTGTATCTAAACATAGAATAAATGGTGTCAATCCATTTTTTAATCCGCAAAACGGCCCTAATAAAATCTTGTATCTGAAAAGAAAATAGGCTTTCATGCAGAAACCAACCAACCAACAACAGTCATTAGAATCTCTTCCGATACACCCACTTTGCTCCCCCCCCCCCCCAACAAAAACACTTTCCCATATCTCTTGAAGTGTCACTTCCCGTGACCTACATAGAAAATATGGGTGGACTTTCTATAAAACAAAACAAAAACAGAAAAATACTAATGTTATGGTTGGCTATTCTACGTTTCGTCTTTGAGTCGTCTTTCAATCACAGCGGGGAATCAAAACAAAACACTGAGGTCAGGAACTGCGTAATTGTTTCGTATTATTATATTTTATTCATGCATAGGTCAACTTTGTATACGCAATACATTTCCAGCGGCCTTTGGTGACTTGTATTTTGTCTCAAAGCTAAAACGTACAACGGGCCTTGCCCTGTAGGCTATATCTTGTGAAAGACGTCAGACGGAGAGAGAGAGAGAGAAAGAAAGAGAGAGACATATAAATATATATATATATATATATATATTTACAGAATGATACATACACACAGACAGACAGACAGAGAGGGGGAGACAGACACACAGACATTACTGTTGCAGAGAGAAAGAGGGATGAGAGAGATGAGAAAGAAAGAGAGAGAGAGAGAGAGAGAGAGAGATGAGAAAGGGCGTGGAGAGGTACATTTTCAAAGCTATTATACTAATTTCGCAGTTTTAAAGTTGATTTTAACATTTTACAAACATAATTAATAGGGCTTATCCTTTTATCAGCAGTAGTATTTAATGACTGAACAAGCTTCATTTTGAAGAACTACTCTTCATTCTTTTAAATTCATTACTGAATTTCGATCCGTGCAAGAAAAGAAAAACCTTCGTACAAAAAATGAAAATAGGAAATGTTACCTTTGTTTACAATGTACCAGCCCGTATCGCTTAACCAATAATATCCTCCTTGCTTTAACATAAATGCTCGGAAAATCAAGGTAATTTGGACTTGTGCTAGTATTTTGTCAATCATAATTACACCAAAATATAATAAATTGAGTGTTGTGCGACCTCCTTCATTGTGGCTAGAATGTGCAGACTCGATCGATAATTTTACATAGGTCGCTGCACAACATTGTGTTGGTGCTTTTTTCACGTCCTTCAAGTCTGAGTATTCAAAACACAATTCAGAAAGAAAAAAGAAGAATCAATCAAAAGTCAAAAATACTCTGACAGGCAAAACACAGGGTTATCTTTGGGAGCATTTCACTCTATTTCCGTATCAATCGAGCAGGTTAGCAAGCAAAGAGTGTTTATTTGTCAGGGTTTAAATTTTGGGGGGGCACATTCTAAAGTAACGTTGAGTGTTCCGGGTTGAAATCTGGTCAGTATAAGAATAGGGTTTATATTGGGTTCTGCCGCTATTCAAATCGCAAACATTGTATAGAACTATATAGAAGTAAAGCTTTTTCTCTTTACACAAAAACAAAATGTGTTTTTCCCATGGCGCACTTGTTAACAGCTTCGGCAAATCTTTCGGTAATGCTACGGTCACAAAGGTTCGTACGAACGATAATTTCGTACGAATCTCCATGTTTTTCCATCGTCTTCCCGAATTTCCATTGTCTGAAAATCGTTCGTACGGCGTTCGTAGCAGTTCGTAATGGCATTTGTGACCGAGGCTTTAAAGGAACATAATTTTACTGATGTGTATCAAGGCGATACAGTAATGGTGTCGTTATTTATTTGCATAGATTTGTAGACTACGCGACAATCATTATTACTTGCATTACGTAATCACCAAACCGTATTATCAACAATTTCGAGGGGCGTTCCCAAGTTGTTTAGATTTCCTTATTTTACTTTTGACTGATTGAACTTAATTGCTGGAAATCACTGTCAATTTCGAATTCACGATGAAAATTACTCAAAATTAAAATAAAATAGAAATTAGAGACGATTCCATGCCATGCCGGGACCTTTCAGCTTCATGAATAGGTGATTGATTTCATCTTTCTTGGTAAGAGTTTCGTGGATTGGAATGAAGCTCAATCTGAAGTTAACACTAAACCTAATCCTAACTCTAACCGGCTAGGTATTGGATGTTCATGTCAACATAAATCCTATTGGTGTGTATTCTAAAGTTAAGCCTAATTCCGTATAACATGATCGCTAAGACTTTCGAGAAACGAACTCAAGGGGACGTACTGTACTCAAAAAAGAGTGAATGTTCACTCTATTTTCACTACATTTTCACTCTCCAGAGGAGTGACGTCCGTGATCACTCGATTTTTTTTAGAGAGTAAATACCCTATTTTATATCCTTATAAATGATGTTCAGATAACATAATTCATCATAATATTTGAATTTTTCCCAAGGTGATGAAGAAGACTATAAGAATGTCCTTACCCTACGTGTCATACGCATTTTCACCGCATCACAGACCCAATACAAAGAGAAGATTAACGGCCCCGGTTAACGGCCTCACTGAAGTAGTGAATAAGACAGTATTGATGAAAAGAGATTATTACGTCGAGTGAATCCACTGTTTGGGCGACGACGCCCAAAAGGAATACGCACAACCATGTATGTAATGGCACAACAGAGTAAACTATATAGACCGAACCGCACAATCCTGAAAGTCACCTTCTAGCAGTGACATGTGGCATGTTTTGACGAATTATGTCGTCATAAACAAGTTCACATTGTAGAAACTCAACGAGATGAAGTGAATAAAATGTCTTTTATGTATCACCAAAGCCTATAATCATTAATGCCATGTTAAAACTCGCATCGCGACCAAAATGTGACGCTTTCATTTGCTTTAAATCTCGTTTTTGTGCGTAGGATCAGGAGTAACCTAAACCCGGTTTATGTCAATTATCATTGTTTTGCAATTTTAGTTTTCTCCAGGTCACCTGTCACATTTTAAAATGTCTTTATGATTTCAAATCTTGGCATGAATAATAAACAACAGCATTTATTTGTTAGAATTTCCTGATATTTTGGATGATCGATGAGGCATCACACAGAACACCATTTTATGTTGTCATCCACATACAGCATTCAACAACATCAAGTATGAAAACAATACACGCATTTAGCAGGAAATATAATCTTCGGTTGTCTAAAAGAATGCTCTAGACTATATCCATTGTTTTAGTCCTACCGAGGAGCTACCAGTACGTCTGCATAATTATGTCCTTCAAGGCTTCAACAGCCATGTAACTGTAAGAGGACGACTCAATTCATTTTGAAGTCCAATTACAAATGTCAAAATCCTACTCATACTTGCGCTACTTCTACTTCTACGTCGGTTCTTGACAGGATCCATAAGTCAGGATATCGAAATAAAATTGATCGCGCAAAGCCCTCAAAATGTAAAGCAATTAAATATCAAAGATATAACATAATCATTAAGCAGCTTACCTTTGGCATAAATAGTGGAGAGATTTCACTAGAAGTCCAGTATCACGTATCGTTCATTGCAATATGAGAATAAACAACACGGTAGTAGGTCCGTGGTATTACTGTGCATTTATACTACATGTATATATTGTCAGGTGATGTCACAATGACGCGGACATACCATCGGACGAGCCTCTGCCGAGCCCTCCAAATTGACCAATCAGCAAGCAGCATTTACGGAGGTGTGTCCTCAAGTTTACTCAATCCGCAGCGGCTGTGCTGTATATTGTGACTACGTACACCACCCACTGATATTACTTTAGGTTTAATTTGCAGACCCGCCTTTTGTTTATGATGGCATCTCGGTAGATATTTTGCAACAATTACCGCCAGGAAAATCCTAGAAAATGAAATAAAGAACATTTAAATTCATTAACGGATGATACCAATTTAAAAAAAAAAAAATCCCCTCATTTTTTAGTCTTTAATGATTATATTATAACTATATTGATCTCAAAGACATGTCTGAGAAATTATGTTCAAGGTCTGAATTATACGACTATTATCGGATTAGCGTGCCAGGAACTAGTGACGAAAAGGGTCCCAATACAAGCTCACCATCTGTGACGGTGTTTACTGAAGGAAAACCGGATTGCATTGGTTCTCTATACCCCAGTATATATTTGTATGTAATGTACAATTGATTTTTTTTTTTCTCGTCAGAATCTGAACATACATGTACGTGGAAGTCATACTACGGTCAAACTGATAATTTGGGCCAGGAACACGGATTCAAAGTAAACCGGTGACATTGTTGAAGGTTGATGAAAAAAATGCGTAATTTTGTATGAAATGTTACTTATTATTCCTTTTACCGTACTTACCGTCTAACATGCAAAAAAATCCTTTAAAAAAAATCAAACCACAAAGATATTAATGATTTTCTTTGAAGGCGTCACTGTACAACACCCTCTGACATTAAATTCTCCCAACCAATTTTTGAATATTGCTAACCGTTTTTCCATGAAAATAAGACATAAAACATGCTTTTCAAAACCTGTCAATAATGTTTGGAATGGTAATTTATGTAGAGCCAATTAATTGCTTTGTGACGATTTACATTCACCTAAAATGTGATTATATTATATAAAAAAAAACATAGTTGGGAGAATTCAGCAATCGATCAGCAGTTTTTCTCAATTCACTCAAACTTTCAGTTTTTCTTTAATTTTACAACTAGAGCATTGCAGTCACTACCTTGACATCATTTTCTCTCATCTGAACAATGTTACCTAGTCCCTTTAAATAGCGTAATTGATTGGTTTCAATGCTCTCTCTCTCTCTCTCTCTCTCTCTCTCTTTCTCTCTCTCTCTTTCTTTTTTCCCCTCTTATTCTGTTAGTGGAAATGACATATAAATATTCTATCATGCTAATGATACAGCACTATTTGCTGATAATAATGAGTCATTAACCAGATTTATATCAAAACGCAGTGTCACCGGATTTGTTGTGTTTGTTTAATGTTTGGTTTGAAAGATTATGTGAAAAATAAAAATAAAATAAACAAATGAATTTATAAATCAAAATTGTGGTAGACAGCCTCAAACAAAGCAGTAATTTGCAAATATATACAGAAGAACACTATTATGCAAGAGTATTTGTAATAATTTATTTTTGAAAAGCTAGTAACCATCCTTAATTTGGTAAGAATGGCTCTTATTATAATTCTATTCACATTTGAATGTTTTAGAATCAAAAGAGTCTGTTCTTTTTGTGATAACGACCCAAACAAATATTCTGCTTTCCCGATTTAATTTTTGAATGGATTTTTGAAAGAGCAGGGCAATATTGTATGAGCTGGACAAAATAATATCTATGTTTTTCATGTTTATATTATGCTGTAATGAGCTACGACACACTTTAATATGTTATGTATGTAACTTTGTTCAATTTCCTCTGTATATTTGTAATCATTAATTTGTACAGCGCCTCTCAGGAAAACAGTTTCAATACAAAATGTACTGGTAAGAGAGCTATCCTGTTTTGATAAAAAAACGAATAATTAAATAAATTATTAAAAAACACAGACTTGTATACGTCACACTTTTATTTTGCAGAATAAATATCAGCTGGGCAGCTTCCCCATAACCCAGTTATACGACCAAATTAGGGTCCAATGAATAACACATTTCAGGTTCAAAAGTCGTGTCCAATAAAGCGGCGAACATACATACACAGTAAAAACGCTGCTTAAAAAAGTGATGTTCACTTACAGTTGTACACTATCTTAAACAACAGTTGAACAAATTGTAAACAATGTTGCTCGAAACGAAAGTAATTTTGTTAAACATTCGCTGTTTAAAATTTAATGACTGCTTTATTTACTATACGAGAGCTTTTAGACAGTGTTGTTTACATATGACGTCATGTGTCACGTGCCAGTAAAGTGCGCGTTGGCTAAAAGATTTCTTTCAAATCATGGCCAACCAAGCTGTAGACGTGTCGTGGATGAGTGGAAACGTCGCCGGACTGTCGATCACAAGGTCCACGGTTCGAGTCCCGCCGCGGAACTAATGTCCTATGGCAGCCTAGCATAGCCGGGTAATGTTGGAGCGCCTTGAGGACCTTGCAAGGCCGATACGTGCGCTATATAAGAATCCAATATTATTATTATTATTTAACAACAGCTCCTTTTTAAACAACTTTCTTTAAACAACCCAGTTGGTGTAAACAACCCCCACTGAACAACAGCTCCTTTTTAAACAACTTTCTTTAAACAACCCAGTTGGTGTAAACAACCCCCACTGAACAACAGCTCCGTTTTAAACAACCGTCTTTAAACAACACCAGTTGTTTAAATTGTGATTTTAAACAAGTTGTTCAAAATGTTGATCAACTAAGTGTTTAAACTTTAAACAACTCGAGTTGCTTAACATTTTAAACAACTCTTAGATCAGGTCACCCGTTATTCAACAGTTGTTTAAACTTTTAAACAACATGTTCACTAAATTTTTAACTGTGTACGTGCATGCCAACATAATTTGTCGAGCCAACTCATCGGAAATGTAATCTGTATGTGTTAATCTAAGTTTCATGTTCTTTCCTTTTATCCGCCCCTCCCCCCTCCCCCCCCCCCTCTCTCTCTCTCTCTCTCTCTCTCTCTCTCTCGCTCTCTTTTGTCTCTCTCTCGCTCTTTCTCTCTCTCCTCTCCTAGTTCCTTTCTCCATTTTAAAATTATTTTCTCTTTCTTTTCTCGTTTTGTCTTCCGTCTTTCTCTTGTTATCCTATTTCCACATTTTTTATAAGGCCGCCTAAAAGCAGGAGGGCCGCGACCGAATCGCCGCCCCCCCCCCTACCCGATCTACGGGACAGCACTTCGCTTATTAACTTATATTATCCCCTTCCTATTAAAACTTATGAAATGACAAGGAGGGTGATTGACTGAATACTGAGGTTTTATCTTGACAATTGATTCCAATAGATAAGGTACTAACTACATTTACAGAACAAGTATTACTTAATTTCAAAGTGCATATTTTTTAACTAGCGCCGAGATTATTTTCTAACTCTGACATTCTTCCCTCTGACGTTTTTTTTACCTCCGTTCATTTCATTCTTTCTTTAAAAAAAAAGGATTGGATACGCCATTGAGTTGTCAGTCATCGTTTATAATACCAGTATTCTGTAAATTCATTCTAATTTTGTTCTCACGTCTGATCTTACTGGTACTTCCGAAGTATATAGTCTGCAGGTACATACTCTAGTTTGACCTTTACCACAATTCATAAGACCTTAAGTAGATCATGGACCTACTTAGGTCCATGAGCAGATCGAGGCTAACTTTCCAGTCTCTTGCTGTGTCAAATACAGCATTAGTACAGAGTATAATTATGCAATATGCTGTCAAACTATAGTCTCACATAGCAGACAGTGACAGACACGGTTTGTGCCTGGTAGAACTATTTCGGAGGTCGACCTGAAAGTATACTGTTATGGTCATGATGGCGGCACCCTCATAAGAACGAAAATGTCTACAGCTTATTAATTCCGGAAATTCTTTTTTTTTCTTCAAGTGGGGAGGAGATTATTTTCTGACGGAGACGGAATATGATTTAACGGGCTGCCTGCATGCCTGTAGATCTAATGTAAATTAATTGATTTTAATTATGTCAATGCATTCAGGGGGGGGGGGGGGTTATCCCAGTATATAGCTTCCTGAGTGAGCTGCCACAGGGATTACTATAAGTGGTGATGTCATAAAGAAATAGTAGTTGGAAAAACAAACATACACTAAGTCATGCTGCCTGCAGATAGAAAGGATATTACAAATTCACTGGTCTTATATTGATTGTGGTACGTTCATCACACAATCAATGCTTCTATCAACCGCACAATTACAAACAAATTAACATGATTGATAACAATACTTTCGTAAAATCAATTATTATCAATGATCTTTTACTTCACACTTTCGGATACGTACACGCGAACAGTACAAAGACGTATATTGTAATTCGAACATGACTCTCTATGGGGCAAATAGGGTATTGAAATTACCCTTCAGCTGGTTTTTCGAAAGTGATATTGCGGATAATGTAATCAAATTGAACCCGTTACGAATAAATGTATCTCAATACTCAGAATTCTAATTGCATACATTAGTTGTTGCTAGGTAGGACAAACTTCTTTTACTTCGTATACTCCTGGGAAATGTGCATGCAGTCAAGATGCTACCTCTTGCCCCTCTGCCTCCCTGACGCTGACTTGTATATTATGAGAATTATTAAGCTAGATTACAAAAAGAAAGACCTGGAAGCTTGACTGCTGCCTCAGCATTCTTCCAGTATTTGCGGTAAATTTAAGGTAAAGATAAACATTATGGCTTAATTGGCTCGTTAAATGGCTTACGTATATGCAGTTTGCATTTTGACTATTGAATTACAATTATTCGTAACAGGTGAAAGAAATATGAAATAATTCGTGTCCATACAGGCACTTAGTAAATATACATTTTGTTACATGGCCTATAAAATAAGTCGAAGTGCAAACTCAACATTTAATTGTTATTCGCATAATGTTATGCATTTCTGACGTCAAGCTATGTTTGTGTGTTTGGGTAGGTTCCGCGTTTTGTGTAATTACCAGGGCAGCATTTAAGATT